TGAACCTGTGAGTGCAGTTCTTCTCCTATTACGTTCTCTGGGCATTCATGAGGACTAGAATGCTCATTACTCAAATGTCCGTTTCCTTTTATGCTTGCTGGTCTCGGTCCCTGTGCCTGATTTCAGGTGTGAGAGACAAACAAAGGTCTTTGGAAAGGGGAAAATATACCACGTGGACTTGGTTCAGAGGCTTAGAAAATAAACAGAGAGAGGGCTGCAGCATTGTTGGATATAGGGTCACCTGCCTGAGCAAGGTTGGACTAGAAGACCTCCAGGGACCCTTCCAATTTTGCTATTCTCTATTCTATATATGTATGCTCATTCATTCATTCATTCATTCATTCATTCATTCATTCATTCACTCACCTATCATCTACCTATCGTATATCATCTCTCTTTCTCTTTTTTCTCTCTATCTATCTATCCATCCATCCATCTACCTATCATCTATCTATCTATCTATCTATCTATCTATCTATCTATCTATCTACCTATCTTCCCACTTTCCTTCCTTCCTTCCTATCTATCCATCTATCTATCTATCATCTATTTGTTTATCTATCTATCTATCTATCTATCTATCTATCTATCTATCATCTATCATCTATCATCTGTTTATCTATCTCTTCCCACCTACCTACCTACCTACCTACCTACCTACCTACCTTCCTATCTATCTATCTATCTATCTATCTATCTATCTATCTATCTATCTATCTATCTATCATCTATCTATCTATATCTATAGCTATCATCTTTATCCACATCTCAGCTCTAAGTACAGTAGAGAAGATGCTAGACTAAGAACAGAGAGATCTGGGTTCTAATCCTCCCATAGGCATAGAAGCTGCCCCTGGAGAAATTCATGCCAGTCTCTCTCTCTCTCTCTCTCTCTCTCTCTCTCTCTCTCCTATCTATCTATCTCTCTTTATCTATCTATCTCTACCTTACTGGGTTGCTGTTGCAGAGAAACATAGCAAGGGGAAGCTCCCAAGGGGACATGTGTGCACAGAATTCCAGGCCCAGAAAGATTCCCTTTGGGGTTCCTGCTTCTGAACCTTGCCTCACCGGTTTCCCTTGTCATTTTGCAGGCTGTGCCAGGACCGATGGTACCCTTGGCATTTGGAGGCTCACTGCCCAACCTGCAGCAGGACGGTGGGAGTGATCCGGGGGATGCCAGTAAGTGGCCAGATGTTTTTCATCACAATTGGAGCTCCCCCACTTTTCCATGAAACCATCATCTTCTTTTAATGACCCCATAATCCCTTGCGGAGTGGAGTCTGGGCAACTGAATGGAGCTGAGTGTTTACTGGCCGGATGCCCTTCCTGTTGCCAGTACGGAGTTTTATTCAAAAGATACATTCTCAATGTGGCCAGAGAGAGAGAAATATCTGCCTCTCCCTGAGGATCAAACTCACAGCCTCCTGATTGTGAGGCGAGAGCTTCACTTTTAGGCCACCGCACCGCTCCAATTTTTCCATGAAATGCGCTCCCCAGTCAGGTTTCCCACAGGCCGTCCTCAGTGCGTGGCCGCCACTGGAATCAGAATTTCTCTCGCTAGGCAAGGCCGTTGTTCACCGAATCCCGCCCGATTGTGTACAACCTTTTGGCCAGGGTTGTTAAGGAAAAAAAAATCACTGTAGCTGCTGAGTGCACCGTGCCGTCGTTAAGTGAATCTGGCTCCCCCCCCCATTCACTTTGTTTATCGGAGGCCCTCAGAGAAGGTCACAAATCAGGATCACTTGAACTCAGGGCACTGCAACCGTCAAAAACACAGCGTTTGCCAAGCCTCTGAATTTTCCTCACGTGACCATGATAATTATTCCTCACGTGACCATGATAATTTTTCCTCACGTGACTGCAAATGGTCATAAGTGCAAGCATGGGTCACATAAACCATCTTTTTCTGTGCCATTGTACCTTTGAACAGCCATTAAGCAGATGATTGTCAGTCAAAAGCTATCTCTATTGTGCTAGGGGCAGGTGAAGAGAGGGAATCGTTCTTTGAAAAATTTAGTCGAATCTCTGTTTTAAGTTTTGTGGGTTTCCTGTCTCTTTGGCATATGTGAGTGTGAGGGGGCGAGCCTTTGTTTTTTAAAACTCAGTCAGGTTTCGGTTAATTGTTGTGGGTTTCCTGTCTCAACAGCCAGTCATTTTCTATGGCTCTAGAAAAAAAAAAAACAGGTTGTCGAACCTCAACATTTAAGGCAGCCCAAGACCCATTTTAACTCAAAAAATCTTATCCTAAACTAGGAGTTGCCAAAGTTGACTCCTTTAAGACTTGGGACTTCAACTCCCAGAATTCCTCAGCCAGCTTGGCTGGTTGAGGAATTCTGGGAGTTGAAGTTGCGAGATGTTTTATATCCATTAAATATTTTCTTCTTTTTTTAATGTTTTAATTAACCTTTATTGAAATTTGAAACATAAATTTAGAAATAACTTTTTACAAATCTCAATCTTCTTTGACAATACTAAAATATTTTATTTTATTTATTTATTTATTGTCAATTGTTTACAAGACAATAGGTATAAGTAAAAACATAGTTAGGAATACATGGATACATATAAGAAAAATAAAAAATAAAAGAAACAATAGGACAGGGATGGTAGGCACGTTGGTGCGCTTATGCACGCCCCCTACAGACCTCTTAGGAAAGGGGTGAGGTCAATAGTAGAAAGTCTAAGGTTAAAGTTTTTGGGGTTTGGGGAAGAAACCACAGAGTCAGGTAGAGTATTCCAGACATTGACCACTCTGTTGCTGAAGTTGTATTTCCTGCAATCAAGTTTGGTGCGATTAACCTTGAGTTTGTATCTATTGTTTTCTCTTGTGTTGTTATGGTTGAAGCTGAAGTATTCATTGACAGGTAGGACATTACAATGTATGATTTATATACTATATAGATTGGACCGAAGGCGGCATAGTTCTAGGTTTTCTAGGTCTAGAATTTCGAGTCTGGTGGCATAAGGTCTTCTGCAATGAGTAGAGGAGTGGAGAACTCTTCTTGTGAAATATTTCTGGACTTTCTCAATTGTGCTAATATCAGATACATAATGTGGGTTCCAGACTGATGAGCTGTATTCGAGTATTGGTCTAGCAAATGTTTTGTATGCTCTAGTTAGTAGTGTAATATTACCAGAGAAAAAGCTACGTAAGATTAGATTAACAACTCTTAATGCCTTTTTGGCTATGTAGTTACAGTGGGCTCTAGCATTTAGATCATTTGAGATGAGTACTCTAAGATCCTTGACAGAGTTTGGATCATCAACAAGGTCTTGACTATTCAGCCTGTATTTTATTTTCTGATTTTTTTTGCCAATATGTAAGACAGAGCATTTATTTGTTGAAATTTGAAGTTGTCATTTGTTTGACCATTCTTATACATAGTCAAGATCTTTTTGAAGGGTAGCCGTATTGTCTGTGGTGTTGAATAGCTTTACATCATCAGCGAAGAGAACGCAGTTGCTCTTGATATGATCACAGAGGTCATTTATGTAGAGTGTGAAGAGAGTTGGTCCTAGAACACTGCCTTGGGGGACACCACTGTTGACAGGTACAGAATTTGATAGGACGCTCCCAATTTTGACCATTTGTTGTCTGTTTGACAGGAATGCTTCTATCCAGTTATGCACGTGTCCAGAGATACCATAAGATTTTAGTTTTAGGAGTAGTTTGTCGTGTACCACTGAATCAAAGGCTTTACAGAAGTCTATGTAGATTGCCTCTATTGCTTTGCCCTGATCGAGTTGTGTAGTCCATATGTTTTGCAGTGTAAGAGTTGCAGATTACATGATAGATTTTTCCTGAAACCAAATTGTTTATTAGAGAGTAGGTTGTTTGTTTCTAAGTGGAGGATGATGGAGTGGTTAATAATTGATTCCATGACCTTACAGGTGATGCAGCATAAAGAGATTGGTCTGTAATTTTCAACTAGGCTGGGGTCTACCTTTTTGAAGATGGGGATGACTGTGGCTTGTGATAATAGTTTTGGCAAGGAGCTGGTCCTGAAAGATTTTTCAAAGATTATGCTTAGAGGTTTGGCTATGGCAGTGGATAGCTTTTTTAAGAAGTAGTCACATATTCCATTCGGTCCAATAGATCAAGATGGTTTTAGATTGCGTAGTGCTTTTTCAACATTGTCTTCTGTAAAATCGATATGTATTAGATCATTGTAGTTGTCTGTGGTCTTGGTTATATACATATCTTGGTTATATACATACATTTCCATACATTTCTAGTTATTCATATACATATACATATCTATATCTTCTTCTAATCTGTACATTTCTTATTCCTATTATCTATCCATTGATACCAATTTTCCCAAACTGTTTAATATTCCGAGTCTTCCTTGTCCTTTAACTCTAAGGTGAGTTTATCCATTTCTGCGAAATCTAAAATCTTTTCGATTACTAAACAATCTGTCGGTATAGTGACCCTTTTCCAGCATTGTGCGAGTGCAATTCTCGCTGCTGTGGTTATGTGTAAAATCAAATATTTTATCTTTTTAGGATACTTTCCGTTAATAATCCCCAAAAGAAACAATTCCGGCTTCAATTCTATTCGGCAATGTATAATTCCATATAACCATTTTTGCATTTTGATCCAGTACTTTTTAACTTCTGGGCAAAGCCACCATACATGAAAGAAGGTACCTTATACCTGTTTACATTTCCAGCAATTAGGGTTTAGATTTGGATACATTTTTACGTGCCTTGTTGGGGCTGAATGTCAACTATGAAACATCTTTATGCTGTTTCCATCTTCCTTTAAAAAAATATATATTAACTGACTCTACAATGGGCTGAAAATCAGAATCTCCACTAGATAATTGGCAGTCAAGCTGAAATTTAATTAATCAAATAAAAATAGAAAATGAGGGGAAATCTTGTACTCAAGCTTCCACATATCAAAGGAGAAGGTCTATAAAGACAAGGAGAGTTCATAAAATTAGGTCTCCCAGTGAACTGCATTTTCACATGAATATTAAACTGTGTCACTGCACCCCGTTTCTCTGCAGCTGCCCCTAAAGGCGAACTCTTTTTTAGGAATAAGCACAGCTACTCCTCGACTTAAAACAATAGTGACGGTTCAAAGTTACAACGGCACTGAAAAAAGTAAGTAAGTTAGGATCGTTTTTTTACAGTTACGACCTTTCCAGCATCCCCATGATCATGTGGTCAAAATCCAGATACTTGGCAATGGGTTCCTAGTTATGACCGTTGCCAGGGTCATGTGATCCCCATTTGGGCCCTTCCGATAAGCCAAGTCAACGAGGAAGCCAGCTGTCAGGATTCCAGCAATCGCTTTAATTAAATCATAATTCTCGAGCCCAACTTCAAAAAACTTCAAAGGATTCATTCCCGGCAACATATTGGCACTGCCCTGTATGAAGCCAACTCTGGCCTACGTCATTTACAGGCCCCTGTGACCAGTGGTGGGAGTCCAATTTTTTTTACTACCAGTTCTGTGGGCGTGGCTTGGTGGACGTAGTTAGGTGGGCGTGGCCATGTGACTGGGTGGGCAGTTTTGTTTTGTTTTTTGTTTTGCTTTTTTGCAGCCATCTCCCCACCTGTTTTTTGGGCCTTCTGGACCTCAGAGGAGCCTCTGGGGGGGGGGGCGTTTTTGCTTCCAGAAAGCTCCTTTGGGGCTCAGGAAGAAAAAAAAATGGAAGGGTGGACTTAGCCCCTCCCTCCATTTTTTGCCTTCCTGGGCCTCAGCACATCTGATTGGCACATCCGATCCAATCCTGGCACATCTGATTGGATGAACAGCTGATCGTCGGGAGGGGAAAAAAAAGAAAGAAATACCTTAAGGGGCCAGCATCAGGTGGGCGGGGTGAGCGAGCATCGGGCAGGCAGAGCAAACGAGCCAGCAGTGACCGGGCAACCAGGTCGGGGGCGTGGCCAGCCAGAACTTACTACCAGTTTGCCGACCCATGCCAAATCCTTGCTACCGGTTCGCCCGATCCGGTGTGAACCGGCTGAATACCACCACTGCCTGTGACCCTGTTTCCCCCTTCCCCCCTGAGCGTCTCATAAACCGGATTCTCCAATTGAGGCCGTTCACAGGCTGGGTGTCATCAATCACGTTCTCCAATTAAATATATTCCCGGGCAAAAGCTCCAGTATTTCAGTTACAATCTTTTAAAGATAAGAGTTGGAATGTACAGTCATTTCACTTTCAAACTGCTGCACTGCTCTTCCAGATTTCCTTCTTCTCCCCCCCCCCCCCACTTTTTTTTAATGGCAATTACTAAAACAGGCCTAGGAATGTTTTATGAGTTGACACCAGATTCACATAACAACCAGATTACTAATTTTGCCTACTGTAGTGATTCACTTAACAACCGAGGCAAGAAAGGTGGTAAAAAGAGGCAAAATTCACTTGACAAATGTCTCACTTCACAACAGACATTTTGGGCTCCAATTGTGGCCGTCAGTTGAGGGATACCTATATTTCTGCTTTCCTCACAGCTGCCCAGATCTCATTTTTATTTATTCTTGCGCAAGCCTGGCTCGAGTTGGAACCCCAAATTAATTCTTCTGACAAAAAGTCCACAAGTCTTAAAAGTTGCTGTTGTTGGATTCTCTAAGGTCTCTAAAATTGGCACAAATTAAGATCTGTGGACTTCAACTCCCAGAATTCCCCAGCCTTAAAACCACCAGTGTCAATCCTGAAGCCATTTTGGAAGGTTCAAGGGTTGCCACACTGGAGCTGAGGGATAGGGAGGTTGGGGAGAGTAGAGATAGCTGGGGTTTTGTAGCCAAAACAAAATACTTTCACCTGTCATGCCCCAGTTGAAGTCTGACTCCGAGGGAGAGGAGGAACAGCCAACAGAGAGTGAGAGGGTGGCTCTGGTGGTTGTGGAGGAAACTGGGGAAGGGCACAGTCCAGCTGGGCATTCAGAGGAAGACCCAGAAAGACCCTCTTCCTTCTAGGGAACACAGGGAGGAGCGGATAAGGGAGAAAAGTGAATGGCATGGTCTACGGTGGAGGAAAGGGCCCTGATTCCCTGCATGGGCTGCAGCTGGGAGGACTGTTTAAAAGGACAAACTGTGCATGGCAAAGTTGCTGGAAGCAAAGCATGAATTATTCTTGTCGGAGCTGATCTGTGTTTTGGCTTCCTCCCAGCTGTGGTTGCTGTTGTTATCTGGTAGAAGTCTGCAATTAATCATCCTGGCCTGCCGTGTTAATTCCTTCAGTGTGGTTTGTGTTGTTGTTTTTATTTCTAATTATCTTTACTTCGGGTTCGGACTGCATTTCTGTCCTCCGTAGACTGTTTTCTTTAAGAGTTTGATATCCAGCCGAGGATAATTGGACATTGGGGCCAAGTTGGAAGCTATTTTTGTGACTTGCTTATTTTTATGTCACGCCCCGGGTCATCACATCTCCTGGGAACCAAGGACATTCTCACATCCGGTCAGAGAGAGAGGAGGAGCGATGTTACCAGGCGACAGGATGGCACCCTAATTCAGGGGTGGGCTTCAAAAATTTTAGCAAAGGGTTCTCTGCCCAGTTGCTGGGTGGGTGTGGCCTAGTCGGCCTCCTGCACCATGGTGGGGGGGCGTTTTTGCCCTCCCTGGACTCCGGAGGCTTTTCTCGAGCCTCCAGGAGGACCAAAACAGCCATTCTGGAGGCTTCTGGAAGCCAGAAACAGGCACATTTCCGGCCTTCCCGAACTTCCGGGAGCCCTGTTTGTTGCCCTCCCGGAGCCGCCGCACACACCTTGCACTTACCTGCACCCAAAATAGGCCACATGGGGACTCCTGGGAAGGGCGGGGTGGGGTGGGCGGGGCCAGCCAGGAGTGGGATTTGGGAGGGGTTGTCCAAACTGTGCAGAATCTTAGCTAGAGGCTCTCCCGAACCCCTGCGAACCCCCAGCAGCCCAGCCCTGCGCCTAATTGGACCATGTGACTGATTGTTTGGGAAAGGGGGAAAAAAACTTTGAATTAGGTGAAAACCGCAGGGAAACATCAGAGTCAGTTTTCACCAGAACTGTGCCAATATGATATATCCAATAAAACTATTCTTTGAGGAAACTACCGGCTTCGGAGTTTTGCTTGCTGTGGGCATATTACAGAGGTCTCCAAATTTGGCAACTTTAAGACTTGTGGACTTCAACTCCCAGAATTCTCCAGCCAGCCGTGTCTGTTTCTTTTTTCTCTTAACCTCCCAAGATGGAGAGATTGCAGAGGGAGGGATTACAGGAGAGTAAACTATGCTGGCTGGAGAATTGTGGGAGTTGAAGCCCACAAGTCTTAAATTTGCCAAGTTTGGGGATCCCTGGTGTATTACTTAGGACCCCGACAATCAGTGTGTTTCCCTCTGCAGGCATCGCACCAGCCCTGCTGACTCTTCCTCGCCTGTCGGATAAAGACGTTGACACGGTGGGCAGCTGCAGCTTCCACTTCCTTCCTCAAAGGGACCTGCCCAACGTCTCGCTTTCTCCAGAGGTGACCTACTCCAACCTCAGCTTCCCAAAACGAGGGGAGGTGACGCTGTTCGAATCCCAGAGAGTGGAAGGAGAAGAAAACCAGAACAGTCATCCTGCGGCTGATAAGATGGTGGAGAACGTCCAGGCAGGTGGACCCAGCTATGCGTGTGTTGCGAAGAAGAAGAAGGAGAAAAAGAAGGCGACCAATGGCAAACAAACCTGGATGGAGATGGATAAACCACAAGAGATGGATAAACCTCCTCTCACCGGCACGGCGTTACCTCCGCCAACAAAAGAGGTAGGAGAAGTTTTTAAGTGGCCTTCAAGAGAAACGTTCTTGTTACGTTCAAAAATGGTGATTTCCATTGTTAGATCTCCCCTCCTAAGCGCTGTTCTGGCCAAGGCTTCCTGAGACACCAACAAACACATGTGTCATGCCCCTGTTGGCATCTGATTCCGAGGGGGAGGTTGAACAGCTGACAGGGAGTGGGAGTGTGGCTCCGGTGGCTGTGGAGGAAACTGGGGAAGGGCACAGTCTGGCTTGGCATTCAGAGGAAGACCCGGGCCCATCCCCTCTTCATCCTAGGGCATGCAGGGAGGAACAGAGAAGGGAGCAAAGTGGCTTATGGAGGAGAAAAGGGCCCTGATTCCCTTCATTAGCTGCAGCTGGGAAAACAGGGTTTAAAAAAGGTGTTTGTGCACAGCACCTTGCTGGAAGCAAAGCATGCATTATCTTTCTTTGTCAAGTCTTATCTGGGTTCCGGCATCCTCCCAACTGTGTGTGTTTTGAAGTCTGCAATTCCTTATCCTGCCCTGTCTCGTTAATTGCTGCAGCATGGTTTGTGTTGGTTTTTATTTATAATCTATATCTACTTTGGGTTCGGACTGAATTTCTTCCCTTTAAAAACTGTTCTTGGGAGAGTTTTTTCTCCAGCCGATGATAACTGAACATTGGGGGCCAAGTTGGAGGAATTAAAGGGACTTTACCTACTTTTGTGACTTTGTTGCTTTTGTGCCATGCCCTGGGCCATCACAACATGTAAAATCCAAACCTCTTTTATTTTAGTTCAATGGCTGTGAATTATCGTCATTCACAGGCCGGTATGAGGCGTAACCGGTTATAATTAGCCCCAGGGACGTCTGCCAAAGTTCTTCGTAAGGGCATCTGATAAGAACGCACCTTATCTTACTTGAAGTGCTGCCAACGACTAAAGTCCCAATTAGTCTTTCCAAAACCAAACAGAGAACAAATTCACCACAGAGCTTTCAGAACCCAACCTGATCAGAGTGAACGACGTTGCTTCCTGCAAAGGTTTTCCTACCTTGGCACTTTCTTTATAGCTGATGGGAGGGGCAATCACCTCCCAGCCTTACTTCCGAGTCGCCCCTTTTGTCTTAGCTGCTCTTGCCTTCTGGCAGCTCTGCACACACATGCACTGGGAACAGGCTCCCCTTGCTCCTCTGCCTCGCTGCTGCCAGACTCCAAAGGCTCTGGAGGCAGCACCCCACTCCCAGATGGACCTGGCCCCATCTCTGCATCGGATGCAGGACCCTCGTCCGAGTCCTCTCCAGACCCCCAGACTGGTCCCCATTCTTCCCCACTGTCCGATTCCACTGCCATCTGTACAGGCTGCCAGCAAACCACAACAATAACTCTCTGACTACAGGTAGTTCTCCACTTGACCATGGAAAATTTATTTATCCATTTATTAAATGCACAGGAAGTCCTCGACCTTGTGTTCTGCTACCAACTGTGGTCATAAGTTGAGGGCATGCTGGCTGGGGAGTTCTGAGCGTTGAGCATCACTTAAACATAACATAACCAAGGTTGAGAAACTTGGAAATAATGCCTGACACCTTACCACAGGTGTCAAACTTAGCTGATGTACCTCTTTTGAATTCTGGAGAGCATCCCAAAGTTTCATCAAGGCTCCACCCAGATAAATAGAATAGAGTATCAGAGTTGAAAGGGACCTTGGAGGTCTTCTAGTCCAACCCTCTGCTCAAGCAGGGGAGCCTATATTTTTATTTATTTGTTTGTTTGTTTGTTTGTTTATTTATTTGATTTGTCAATCGCTTACAAGATCATAGGTATAAGTAAAAACATAGTTATGAATACATGAAATGGGTACATATAAGAAAAATAAAAAGAGAGCTTCCGGTTTGAAGGGCTTCGGCGACAGACAGAAATCCGCAATCGTGCGCGGTTTCTGTCTGGGCTCGCCACTGGAGCGCCCCAAGCCGGCTGGTTTCAGGGCTAAGCCACCCCGTAGAGGTGGTGAAGAGGGGGGAGACCGCCAGCAGGGTCGAGGAGAGCCACATCTCTCTTCCTCAGCTGGCCATTACTCCCTTTCCCGAAGGAGGTTGCAGCGGTGGTCAGAAATGACCACCACAAAGGAGAACTCGACTGGAAAAGAACGTGCAGGAGGAAGATAAGAAGTGAAAGTTTTGGCTGACTGGGTTAAATTGTAAAACCAACAACCAAGGTACCCTGGAATTTAAACTTACAAAAAATAACATTGGTCCCAAAGAAGAGTCAGAAGCAGCGAAGGAAAGTAAAAAGGGAAAGGTTTGGCTTTTTTTTCTTTCTTCTCTCTCCTTCCCTATACTGACAACTAAGAGACTTAAATAAGAAATCGGAAAAGTCCGCTTTGGCATCAGTAGGCAATTAAGCTGAAAATAAAACAAAATGCCAAAGGGATAATAAAGATTTCTGGACATTAAAATTTTTCTTTTTCATAAGCAGGAAGGGAGAGAAAAAGAATAAGGGCAGGATCTGGAAGAGGGAGGAGACTGCCTGGAATTAAAAAGAATCTAAAGTAAAACTTCAAGAAGACTTCTAAAAGATACATTTTAACTGAAACTTTGCAACTAAATAGTAACCCCAGGAAGAGAAAGTGAAAAAAAGAGCAAAAAAGAAACAGCTTGCGTGTATTTGGATTATTTGGTGATCTTTGGATTTTGGGTTATTATATTTGAATGACTAAAATCAATCGGGTGGTTGTTTAAAAATTTATACAATGGCACCACTTCTGGATGAATTGAAAATGGAACTTAAAAAGTACAAAGAAGATGCACAAGAAGGGAAGGGTTCTTTTGGCTTTGTTTTTCAATTCTTAGAAATGGAGATTTGGAACTATGAGAAACAACAAGAAACGACTGCAAAACAAGAAGACTGGGACAAAGAAGAAGCCATCTTTAATGAACAAGTAATTCTATGTGGGGAAGAAAAAGGAAAGGGGGGAAAGAGAGTGGAGAATTTACGACTTAAAAAAACAACCAAAGAAAAGAAAAATAATTTGAAAAATAAGTATAATACTGGAAAGCAACAGAAAAGGGGAATACAGAAGAGAGAAATAGAGGTAGAGAGACAAGGGGGTAAAAAGGGGAGAGAGAAGAAGAGAGGGAAGAAGGAAAGGAAAAGAAGTTTCAAAGGACTGGAGCAAGATATAGAGAAACAGGACCTATTTAGAGATAATGGGTGAAAATCTAACTGAAAAAGGGATTCTGTAAAGGTACATAAGATTGTATTGTTATATTAGTAATAGAAATAACTTTAGAAAATTGGAAACAACGTATGATTAAAATGAGGGATAAAATAGTTAGTGTAATTTAGTGAAATGTTTGTGAATAAAATAAGTGAAATAAAATAAATGAGAAAATTGAATTAGGAAGGAACGGGAACATTTTAATTAGTTAATGTTTTATAAAATATGTGAAGGGGGGTGGAATTATGGAAAGCTTATAATTGTTCCCATAGAAGTATGATATTTAATTAAAAAATAATGTTAAAGATGTTAAGAATTTAATGAATATTAATATTAATGATAGAATTGAATTGGAATGGAATGTTGTTTTAATTATATACATTTATATATTTTTTTCTTTTTTAAAGAATATAGTGTGTATTTTAAGAATATACCAAGCACAATCCGAATGGAAGTTATGTATTATATTGAATGTTACAACTTTAGGGAAAAGATATAAAGGTGTCATACTCCAATCAGTAACTACAGGAGAAATTTTGTTTAATGAGAAAAGATAATAGATAATTGAAACAGGACAGACAAAAAATATAAATACAATGATTTGAATTGAGATGAGATGAGATAATTAAAATAAAATTGAGAAAATTAAAAGAGGGGAGAAGCTATGCAGAAAATGTAAAATAGTAATAAGATATGGAATAGAATATAAAAATGAGCATGAACCTGAATTTGTGTCTGTACGAAGAAATGTAACCCGGGATTATGCTGCTTTCAAAAAAGATGTTTTATTTGTATTTTTTTTCTTTTTGTGAAAACTCAAATAAAATTTACAAAAAATAAAAAATAAAAGAAACAATAGGACAGGGACGGTAGGCACGTTGGTGTGCTTATGCACGCCCCCTACAGACCTCTTAGGAAAGGGGTGAGGTCAATAGTAGACAGTCTAAGGTTAGAGTTTTTGGGGTTTGGGGAAGAAACCACAAAGTCAGGTAGAGTATTCCAGACATTGACCACTGTGTTGCTGAAGTCGTATTTCCTGCAATCAAGTTTGGTGCTGTTAACCTTGAGTTTGTTTCTATTGTTTGCTCTTGTATTGTTATGGTTGAAGCTGAAGTATTCATTTGCAGGTAGGACATTGCAATGTATGATTTTATATACTATATTTAGATTGGACCGGAGGCTAGTTCTAGGTTTTCTATGTCTAGAATTTCAAGTCTGGTAGCACAAGGTCTTCTGCAACGAGTAGAGGAGTGGAGAACTCTTCTTGTGAAATATTTCTGGATTTTTTCAATTGTGTTAATATCAGATACATGATATGGGTTCCAGACTGATGAGCTGTATTCAAGTATAGGTCTAGCAAATGTTTTGTATGCTCTAGTTAGTAGCGTGATATTACCGGAGAAGAACCTACGTAGGATTGGGTTAACAACTCTTAATGCCTTTTTGGCTATGTAGTTACAGTGGGCTCTAGCACTTAGGTCATTTGAGATGAGTATTCCAAGGTCCTTGACAGAGTTTGGATCATCAACAAGGTCTTGACTATTATGTCTTGACTATATACATATACACATACATACATACATATACACATACACATACACATACACATACACATACACATTCACATACATACATATACACACACATACATATACATATACACATACATACATACGGGGTGGGGGGTTTTGCTTCTGGGGGGATAGAAAATATTTTTGCTCCCAGGAAGGAGTGTGGGGGGGGGGGGCTGCACCACTCCCACCACCCCGCAGGCCCCTCTTTGCCTCCTGGGCCTCAGGGAAGCCTCCTGGGCGAAGCAGCAAGACAGCGAGGGGAATCCCAGGGCAACTGATCGTAGGAACAGCTGATCGTCGGGAGGGAGGAAAAAAAAGGAGTGACTGGGAAGGCGAGAACGCAGTCAGCGATGCCGCGCATGCACGATAAGGACTGACTGGGAGGAGAGGGGAGGGGAGGGCAGAGAGGGGCGGGGCCAGTCAGGGGCATGATTTGCTGCTTCTCCAAACTGCATGGAACCATAATAACAACTGGTTCTATAGAACCAGTTTGAACCAGTAGAATCCCACCCCTGGGTTGACCTCCCCCTCTTCTTAGATATTGGAAGACTTTATTATCCTTCATCTTTGTTTGTAAACTATTTGCTATTTCTTCCGACCAGCTTGAGAAGGATTAGATGAACAGATCCCTTGTGCTTGATTCTCTAGAGCAGGGGTGTCAAATTCGGGGCCGACAGGCTGGATGCGTCATGGCTGACTGGCCAAGGAATTATGGAAATGGAACTTGGGGACTTCAAC